TCAGGAATTTTTTTTCTGCTTATTTGGAGTGTTTTTAACCAAATTCAATTCAAGTTCAATGATTTTTTACAATTGTGCAACATTTGTCCGTCAATTTGCATACTGTTCTTATAAGTACAGCCATGCAATTTGGATTTCTTTTTGTTTGATATTTTGTGTGCTTGGTTTAGTGTGGAATTTTATTTTCATTTTATTTTAACCTATTTTTATCACAAATAATCCAGAAAAAATGATATTCACGAATTCCGATGTCAACATCACTCAATTTGCAAGCTGTTCTTATAAGTACAGCTATGCAAATTCGGTTTGCTCATATACTTCGCAATTTCCATATTGGTCGTAAATGCATGACTGTACTTATAAGACCATTTTGATTTTTGCGATATATTGATAATTCCAGCATTATACCAGATTATGAATATTTTTTTAAGTGCTTATGAGGTAAAATAAGCATGGGAAAAAATTCCCATCTCTGTATAAAATATATGCATTAGAGGGTTAAGAAAAATTTGGATGCACCGAAATTATGCAACGGCACAAAATTAATAATCAAAAACATGAGACCAAACTTATAGTAGAAACAGCAATAATTAGTGGCAACTACAAAGGAGAAGATATTCTTATACCAAGAATTCCAATGATTACGACTGATCTATCATTCCAATTCAAACGACTACAATTTCCAGTACGGTTGGCATATGCGATGACAAAATAAAGCCCAAGGTCAAACATTAAATGTTGCGGGACTGGACCTAGAAACACAATATTTTTCAAATGGCCAGTTATATGTAGCATGTCCACGAGTAGGATCTCCAGAAAATTTATATATTTATTCACCAAATTCAAAAGTAAAAAACATTGTATATCGTAAACCATCCAAATTGTAACCATTGAACAAATAGACTAATTTTCTGCAAAACTTTGAAGGGTAACTGTTGTTTTTTATATCATATTTGAGAAGATCACGAAAAAGACTTCCGATATGAATATATGACTTATTTGTATTTTTTCAGAAAAGTGGTTTATTTTAAGACTATGTTACAATTTGGATGGTTTACGATATCCCATTGTACTTCGATAATATGACAATAAAACAAATAATTAAACAGAAATATTGATAAAACATATGATGTAGAAAAAATTCTTAAAAATCTAGCGGAGCGCGCCGAGCGAAGCGAGAACCGCTAGTATTTAATAAAATGCACGAGCACCAGCACACAAAAGCGTGGTTTTAATCAAATTAAAGCATCCAAATTCGAATCATAAATTTTACCTTGAATTTATTCAAGTAAATTTGACTTTCCAGCTCACTACATTCATACGATTCGATACGAGCATCGAAAAAAAACGTGCTGATGGGTTATGCCATATTGAAAATATGCGTTTTTGACATATTGATTATTTGAGATACAATAAAAAAAAATCAAGATCGACCGATAAAATACCAGATAACGAAAGCGTCAGTGAAATTCAAATGTCTGCCTCAAAATCAACGATATCGATTTGTTTCAATTTCTTATGAAGATCATAGAATTCAAAGAAAAAGCTCTACGTTTAAAGAAAAACACATAGATTTTTTTACATGTAATTGTAAGATACTGTGTATCCCGCCTGCTGACGGTTTGCATGACAATTCTTTCTGTTATTGCTTAATTACAGCAGCGTCTAGACATTTAATTATACGTATTATTCAATTACAAGTCTATTGTGTAAGTTTCGATATTGTCTTTGAAATGCCTCACACATATCTCTATTTGTTACATCAACTTTCAAATCAAGTAAATGGATTCAGTTGGAATTCTAATGCTACAAGAGCAATATCAATTTTTACATCTAATTTCTGGATCTTTGAACAAAACATAGAAAAAAATGAATACAATATCATCATATTTCATGGTTTTGCACCGGTTTGGTTTCTAATGGCAGAGTTTAAAAGAATATTGATGAATATGTATGAAATCGATGTAGGCTAGACACTTCGATCAACTGTAATTGAATTAGTCTATCAATCGTAATAAGTGGCATTACATGGTAAAAGAACATCAATTGTCACATTCAATTCTTATAGTCTCTACCTTACAATCACAATACACATAGCAAAAAATGTTGGTTTTCAATTTTGAATAATTTTCTTATGTGTTATGTATAAAACATAGTGTGAAAGAAAAATCCAATTTTCAGTAGTAGATTTAGTTTTCGAATTCATTTTTAGTTCTATGCTACGTAGTATAGTGTGGATGGCTTTAGATAAAAAAAAAAGTAAAACTATTGGTTTTTTTTTCATTTATTCGAAGATTTCAAAAACTAAAAACTAACAATAAAATATAAAAAAGCATTCATCAGTGTCAACATTAAATCAAATATGTGTGATATTTCGCTGCAGCTTAGTTTAAAAGTTCATCGTCCTCTACAATCTCCATCTTCATATTTGAAAATGACGTAACTTAGCTTTGGTTTTTCAATGTGGTCTTCGATGTATTTATGTTTTGTTTCGTCATTTGTTGTTGTCTGTTCTGATTTTACGACGTGTTTGATCCTGATTGCCACCGTTCGTTTCAAAGAACACCCAAACTGAGTCCACTGCGAACAAAGTCTCTTTTACGCTAACAGCAATTCGTACACGAACGAGTCAGTGCGACAGTTGGCGTGAGCGAGACAAAGTTTGACAGCAAACAATTTGGTTATATCGGTTTAAATGTTCTTTCGTTTGGATAGCCAATACCAATTGGTTCATTATTAAACCATAAGTTTTTATAGATGGCAGAAAATAAGACACTTTTTTTTATGAATGATTCATATTTTTCATTAAAGTAGAGTTCCAAATCTCGTTTTTCGCCTAAAAAGGGTCGAAGAATTATAACGTTTGTTCGAAAGTGATTTTAATATTGTGCACTTACCACCTGCTGATGTATTTTGGACACTATGAAGAATCAAACTATAATGTTCATGTGGAATCCAGTACTGATGTCACACCTCGCCAACAGTGAGTGCGTTTGGTGTTATACGAACGGTATTTGGCATTCGTTAAGTGTCCTTGGATGAACAAAGTATGATTCAACATAATAATAATAAGATTAATGCGTTAAATGTTAAACATATTGCGCTTTGTATATGCGCACTCATGCAATTAACATGGGTTGACTGAACTGTTTGATATTTATAACGTCGATACTCTTAAATTCGAAAAGGTTAATTTCGAAATCATCATTCCAATTCTGATGTGTGGAGCAATCTTGCTATTATATTGATTGAGACTCTTCTACTAGACTTGTGCTCTTCTCTCTCGAAATGATTGGTTTTTAAACTTAAACTTTCTAAGCGGTCTATCTCTGACTTTAAACGGAATGAATTTTTACCTATACATAATATTTTTAATAAGCATAGTAATCTAAAGAATACTTATTTCTAGTTTCGGGTCTTATTCCTAGATTTAAATTCTTAGAACATTTTTAAAAATGCAGCCGACGTCCCATTAATTTAAAAAGTATTTTGAAAATACGATAAAGATTTTTGCAAATAATGCATGATTTTGCAAAATTAATGTAATAATTCGCTAAAACGTCAACGATTATTTTGCAAAAAAAAATGTTTTCTCTATGATTTGATATGTTGGGTATACAAATAAAAATCATACACACAGAAAACAAACCAATGTCAAATCGTTAAACGTCATCGCAAATCATGATAAACAATACATTTAATGTTATTGAAATATAAAAATGCGATAGAATTCATCGCAAAAATAGATGTCAGCACCATTAAATTATATGATTTATCCCGGTTTATGATGACATGTAGAAGTTATGTTTTCTGTTTGTATACACAGATTGATGTATTCTTTATTATATGTTTGGGAATAAAACATTCACTTGAGCTAAACAATTATCATATTTAATTATGTTCATGTTCCATCAACTATTTTTATCACGAATGACCACGCAAAAACATTTATAATTTGGAAGAAGAAAAAACCAACATTTCGTTAAATGAAAATGCCTTATTGTTTTTGCTATTGCTGTACAAAAGTTGTACTTAAATGAATATGCATTTCGAACGCTTTGTCGGGCGTCCATCATCAGCACTAACAGTATGTTCAAGTGTTTTTGTCCTTGACTGTATACATTTTGTCATTTGTTGTCCGAGTAAAAATCGATTTTTCGGATCTGATATCATTGAATGATGGTCACCGTCTACCGAAATAACTTGAAAATCTATTGGAGGACTGTAATTTTCCCATCCCAATTTCGGAAAGTTATATAATTTCTTCGTACTATCCATATTTTTCTTGTAACTATTATTCAAGTACTCAGTACCAGCATGCAGAGAATAAGTGTAATCTACTGCCTTAAATAAATGTACCCTAACGCTAATTGGACCAGTTTTAACCAAAGCACATATATTGTGGTAATTGTGACGTTGTTTCGATAGTAATGCTTCCCATTCGATATCTGCATTCTTTAAATCTATTGTCATGTTATTTATCTCTTCAACTGCTTCATCTAGGGTTAATTCACTGACACGAACCCACCATTTCGTATCATTCATCATTTTGAAAACTGGGAATTTAAGCAGCAATGATGTTAAAAATGTCACCGTTTCGGTTAGTCTATCGCTGGATGGATACGTATCAATTAAGCCTAGGAACGAAACAGGATCGCCGCCGTTTACAAGTTGTTTAGTCATTTCATAGGCTAAAATACCGCCACCGGAGTAGCCAGCAATTGCATAAGGACCATTTGTCTGAATTTTTTTCATTAGACGAATCATCGTTATAGCCATTTCCTCAATAGATGACGGCTGTTTATCCTCTGGCGATGGCCACGGCAATACATAAACGGGTATATTTTTATCTATGTCATGGGATAATTCAAAAGCATAAGAAATATCTCCCCAACCATCTGGCAACAGAAATAAAGGTGCACCATTTCCATATTGACGAACAGGAATAGCATCATCACAATACAATCTATTTGAACGATGGGTTATTTGTTGAGATAAATCTTTGAGTATCGGAAACGAAAATACACCACGAGCATCAATATGGATATTACAGAGTTTAGCTTTGTTTACAAACTGCATAACAAGTAGAGAATGGCCACCCAATTCGAAGAAATTATCATGTCGGCTGACAAGATCAATACTCAGCAGTTCACGCCAAATGCCAGCCAATTTTTCTTCCATTTCACCCTGTGGATCTTCATACTGTTGACGAGAAAATGCCTCATCGTCCGGAGTTGGTAATGCTCGTCGGTTTAATTTGCCATTGGGTGTGAGCGGTAAGGATGGTAAACACACATAAGCCACTGGTACCATGTAATCAGGCAGTAAAGTTGATAGATAAGAACGTAAATTTTGGACCACAGATGTGTCATCGTCAGCCACAATATAAGCAACCAAACGGGCGTCTGTTCCACTGCCATAGGATTGTACAATAGCTTCGCGCACCTGTGGATATTCGACTATGCGGGCTTCAATTTCGCCAGGCTCAATTCGGAAACCGCGTATTTTTACTTGTTGATCTGTGCGTCCCAGATAAGCTAGATTGCCATCAGGCAAATATCGTGCTCGATCACCAGTACGATACATGCGTGCTGCTGGATCATCACTGAACGGGTTGGATAGAAAACGTTCCGCAGTAAGTTCAGGCTGGTTTAGGTAGCCACGAGCTACGGCAGCACCGCCAATATACATTTCTCCCTCGGCTCCCAGTGGTACTGGCTCACCATATGAATCAAGCAAGTATATCTGTGTGTTTGCAATCGGCCGGCCTATCGTTTCGATTACTTCATCACCTCGTTTAAATTTGTGCAATGTTGAGAAAAACGACGTTTCTGTTTGGCCGTATAGATTACACAGTTCAGTGACTTGAGTATGCGTGAAAATGCGTTTGATTAGATTGGCTTTTAGCGGCTCTCCAATGAAATGCAGTGCACAGAGCGACAATGGCAGAGAGTCCGCATTAAGTATAATTGTCACGGCCGAAGGTACCGTACTGAGCATCGAGATGTTCGACGATGGTGAAAGAGCGAGCGCATTTGGTATGACGTGTAATGTGGCTCCCATCGAAAGTGGTGCGAAACATTCGTAAAGAGACATATCGAAATTAACGGAGGTCGAAAATGAAGTGTGCTTGAAGTCTTCAGCTGTGAAAGCCTCGTTGATCCAATGAAGGCAGTTGGTTACATTTCTATGTTCAACCATCACTCCTTTTGGTTTTCCAGTTGAGCCAGAGGTGTAAATAACATAGGCTAGATGGTTTGGAGTGAGTCTAAGTTTGATTACGTCAGGATTATCGTTTGGCAAATCGACGGGTAACGGTTTGTGCAATTCAAGCACTGGTATTTGATGGTATCCGAGTGCTTCCTGGCCAGTAGCGTCGGTCAATAGAAGAATGGGATTGGCATCGTGTAGAATATTGGTTAGCCGTTGACTGGGATAAGCTGGATCGAGTGGTACATAGGCGCCACCGGCTTTCAGAATGCCCAACATTGCTATAATTAGTGCCAAATTGCGTTGGACGCAAACTGCGATGCGATCATCTGGTTTGACTCCCCATTCGATCAGGTAATGTGCCAACCGGTTGGCTTGGATATTGAGTTCCGTATAGTTTAGAGTCTCTCCTTTACATTCAACGGCAATTGCATGCTCAGTGCGTTCAACCTGCGCCTCAAATAATTGGTGAAGACAGAAGTCGGGTGAGTAGGAAACCATGGTTTGATTCCAAGTGTGCAGTAACATCGTGCCTTCTTCCGGTGGCATCACAGATAAGCTTCGAATAGGTTTTTGTGGAGTATGGGTCAAAGCATTGACTAAAGACACCAAAGCCTGTTGCATATATGTACTGATTCGAACTGCTGACATCAGTGAAACCACCTGGACCGATAAGCTCAAAGTAGAATTGTTGTCATCTAACGATATGGTTACTGGGTAGTTAGTTCTCACTTCACTGCCTAAGAAACCGACTCCAGCAAGTGACGTAATGGCCCGATCAATTTTCTGACTATTTCGATAGTTTAGCAATGCATTAAACAATGGCATTCCAGCTGGAACTCCACTGCATCGTTGTGCTAACACGAGTGGCGCGTGTTCATGTGCTAACAATGCACTCAACCGAGTATGAGTATGGCGCACAGCGGTTTTGACACTCGTATCATCAATATCAATTCGTATTGGCAGCGTATTAATCATCGGTCCCATGGCACTGTCATTTCCCTCTCCAGCCTGTAAACGTCCTAGGAGAACGGTGCCAAAGACTACTGCTTCGCGTCCACTAGCTCGAGCAAGTACTTGTGCCCAAGCCAAATGGCAAACACTAGCTAAACTGACCCGTAAATTTCTTGCGTGCTTTCCTAACTGAATAAACAGTTCATGAGACAATTTTAGTTGCGCTTCGTTGCCATCAGTTCCATCCCAACCATCGTGGCTCAAACCAAATGGCATAGTTGGCTCGTCAATATTACCGAGCATTTCACTGAAAAATCGGGTATGTTCAGCTGGCTTCACTCCCAAGCGAGCTTGTGCCACCGCTTGGCGGAATGGTGTAGGAGCTGTTAGATTTTCACTCTGCCCATCAAATATTGAGTGGATTTCTTTCTGAAGTCGCTCTAATGTTGAATGATCACCAATTATGTGGTGCATCAATTGCAATGCCACCCAGCTTCCTTCAGATGTTTGTGAAGCAACCAAACGCAATAATGGTGCCTGTGTCAAGTCTAACCGGTAGTGACGTGGATCAATGAAGTAGCTCACCTGCTCCAGTACCGGTTCACTGCAACCATTTAATGTAATTTTGGTAAGTAACGAAGGAACCTGGCGTAGAACGACCTGCACCGGTTCGTTGAGACCTTCACAAAAGAATACAGTGCGCAAAATTTCGTGTCTCCTCATCACCTGTTCCAGGGCGTCTGCATAACGTTCAAGTATATTCCGGTCAATGAAACTCAGTCGACTTACTATCAAATATGGATCTCCCTGTTTGGCCATCAGATGGTGAAACAACATACCGTGCTGCAAAGGTGCTAGCCCATAAATATCTTGAATATTTGATACTCCACCAGGCACTTGTGCAATAATCATATCGATTTCTGCTTGAGAAAGAGTGATAAGCGGTAACATTTCTGGAGTAATCAGCATGCTGTCTGTGGTTATTAGATTGGGTGGAATAGTCACTGCTTCATAACGGGTGAGAGTTAAAGCCAAACAGGCCAGATTTTGAGCATCAAATACTTCCCGTACGGTGGTGTCTAGTCCGGTCTGTCTCAACTGTGCCAACATTCGTACGACCAACAAAGAATGTCCTCCTAACGCGAAGAAATTGTCATGCCGGCCAATGCGTTCAACTCCTAACAGTTTACGCCAGATATCTGCCAGTTTTTCTTCTATTTCGCCTTGTGGAGCTTCATACTCTTGATGTGCGAACGCCTCATCGTCCGGAGATGGTAGTGCTCGTCGATCTAGCTTGCCATTAGGTGTGAGTGGTAGAGAAGGTAGACAAACATAAGCCGCTGGTACCATATATTCAGGTAATAGGTTCGATAGATATGTACACAAATCCTGTGCTAACGATATATTCGCGTAGGCCACCACATAAGCCACAAGACGAGCATCTGATCCACTACCATAGGATTGTACAACCGCCTCGTTCACTTGAGAATGTTCGACTAGGTGGGATTCAATTTCGCCAGGCTCAATTCGAAAACCGCGGATTTTCACTTGCTGATCGGTGCGTCCCAGATAAACTAGATTACTATCAGGCAGATATCGTGCTCGATCACCGGTTCGGTACATGCGTGCTTGAGTGTTTTCACTGAATGGATCCGGTAGAAAACGTTCTTTGGTAAGTTCAGGACGATTTAGATAACCACGAGCCACACCAGCACCACCAATATACAATTCTCCTTCAGCTCCCAGTGGCACTGGCTCGCCATATGAATCCAACAGGTATATTCGCTTGTTGGACAGTGGACGCCCGATCGGGATCAGCGAATTTTCAGAAATGCCATCATTACATATCCAAATTGATGCAAAAATTACCGTTTCAGTAGGGCCATACATATTGGCTAGAACAGTTTTACCTTTAGCGTAATTTTCAAACCAGTCACTTACAATTAATGAATTTAATGCTTCACCACCAAAAAGAACATATCGCAGTTGATGGGATCGTGAATTAATGTTTTTCGCTTGCATTAGCATTTTAAATGCTGAAGGAGTTTGATTCAGTACAGTAATACGGCTGGCACACAACCAATCGTAAAATTCGTCTGTCGATCGTGTAATATCGTAAGGTACAATCGACAGTTGACTTCCATAGCATAATGCACCCCATATCTCCCATACAGAAAAGTCAAAAGAAATCGAATGGAACAAACACCACTTGTCTTCTTTGTTGAAACTGAATTTATCGTGTACGGACTGGAGTAATTGTGCTGCATGATAATGTTCAACCATTACTCCTTTCGGTGTTCCTGTTGAACCAGAGGTGTAAATACAATATGCCAGATGGTTTGAAGTGACTCCAAGGTTGATTGCATCTGGATTTTCGATTAACAAACCATCAGGTAACGGATTGTCCAAGTGAATCACGGGTACTTGATGGTCTCCGAGTACTTTTAAGCCAGTAGCATCTGCTAACAAGAGTGCAGGGTTGACATCCTGTAGAATATTGATCAGTCGTTGACTCGTGTAGACTGGATCGAGTGGTACATAGGCTCCACCAGCTTTTAAAATGCCCAACATTGCTATGATCATTGTCGTAGTGCGCTCAACGCAAAGTGCAATTAGATCATCTGGTTTGATACCTTTAGAGATAAGGTAATGTGCTAGTTGATTGGCTTTAGTGTTGAGTTCCGCATAGCTTAGAATTTCTCCTTTACTCTCCACGGCAATGGCCCGTCCGTCACATTTAACCCGCTCCTCAAATAACTGATGAAGACAGAGCTTAACTGGATAGGTAGCCGTTATTTGATTCCAGGTGTGCAGCAGCAATGTGCGTTCGTCGGCTGGAATCACTGTTAATGTCCTGACTGGTTTTTGTGGGGTGTGGATAAGCGCATCGGCCAGCGATATCACGGATCGTTGCATATAGGTACAGATCCGTGCGGCTGACATCGTCGAAACAATTTGTGCTGTTAGACATATCGAATCACCATTATCTTCAACCGACAGGATTAATGGATAATTTGTTCGCTCTTCACCGCCCAAGAAAGATACACCCGGAAGTGCCGCATTGACTTGTGTGCTTTGTTGATTATGGCGATAGTTCAGTAATGCACTGAACAATGGCGTATCAGCTGGAACTCTACTGCAGCGTTGTGCCAACACGAGTAGTGCGTGTTCGTGTGTCAGCAATGCACTCAACCGTGCATGAGTATGGCGTACTGCGGTTTCGACGTCCGTCTCATTAATATCTAGCCGTAGTGGTAGTGTGTTAATCATAGGCCCCATGGTAACATTATTCACTTCTCCACCTTGTGAACGGCCGAATAACACAGTGCCAAATACTACCGCTTCACATCCACTAGCTCGAGCCAATACTTGTGCCCAAGCCAAATGACAAATACTGGCCAAACTGACCTCAAGTTTGAGTGCAAGTGATCGTAACTGGTCATTGAGTGTCTGTGACATCGGCAGATATGATTCATTAATATGATTCCCATCCAGACGAACGTCACTCAAACCGAATGGCAAGGTTGGCTCATCAATATCACCGAGCATTTCACTGAAGAATCGAGTATGCTCGGCTGGTATAACTCCCAGCTGGGCATGAGCCACAACATTACGGAATGAAGTTGGTGTTGTTAACTGTTCAATCTTCCCGTCAATGATAGCGTGAATTTCTACTTGCAATCTTTCCAGCGTTGAATGATCAATAATAAGGTGATGCATCAGTTGTATTGCCACCCAGCTCCCTTCAGACGTTGGTGCGGCAAGTAAACGCAATAGCGGTGCTTGTGTCAATTCGAACCGGTAGTAACGCGGATCAAAGCGGCGGCTCAAGTGCTCCAATACCGGTTCACTGGTATCATCCAATGTAACCTCGGTGAGTAACGAAGGAACCTTACGCAAAACGATCTGCGCCGGCTCACCGAGGTCTTCCCAGATGAAGATGGTACGAAGGATATCGTGTCTTTTAATCACTTGTTCAAGGGCATCTGCATAGCGTTCAAGTGCCGTACGGTCAATAAATTGCATACGCATTGTAATCAAGTATGGGTCGCCCTCTTCGCACCTCAGATGATGGAACAACATACCATATTGTAAAGGCGCCAATCCATAAATATCTTGGGTATTCGCCACTCCACCAGGTACCTGTGCAATAATTACATCAATCTCTGCCTGAGAAAGTGTGATAAGTGGTAACATTTCTGGAGTGATTGACGTGCAATCTGAAGTAATGAGATTAGGTGGAATAGTAACTGCTTCATAACAGGCAAGCTTCGTAGCCAAAATGGCCAGAGTTGGAGAATTATACACTTCTCGTACGGTGGTGTCTTGACCGGTCTGTCTCAACTGTGACAACAGTCGTACGACCAATAAGGAGTGGCCTCCCAGCGCAAAGAAATTATCATGACGACTTATGCGTTCAACACCAAGCAGGTAACACCAAATATCGGCCAGTTTCTCTTCCATTTCACCCTGTGGAGCTTCATACTGCCTACGAGCAAACGCTTCATCGTCCGGAGGCGGTAGTGCTCGCCGGTCTAGTTTGCCGTTGGGTGTCAATGGTAAGGATTGTAGACAAACATAAGCTACTGGTACCATATATTCAGGCAATAAGGTCGATAGATATGTACGCAAATCCTGTGCTAACGATGAACCCGCGTCGGCCACCACATAAGCTACAAGACGAGCATCTGGTCCATTTCCATACATATGTACAACTGCCTCGTCCACCTGAGGGTTTTCGATTAAGTGGGCTTCAATTTCACCAGGCTCAATTCGAAAACCGCGAACTTTTACTTGCTGGTCTATGCGTCCCAGATAAACTAGATTACTATCAGGCAGATATCGTGCTCGATCACCGGTTCGGTACATGCGTGCTTGAGGATTGTCACTGAATGGATTGGGTAGAAAACGTTCTGCGGTAAGTTCAGGTTGATTTAGATAACCACGAGCCACACCAGCACCACCGATATACAATTCTCCCACGGCTCCCAGTGGCACTGGCTCGCCATATGAATCCAGCAAATATACACAAAGATCGGAGAGTGGTCGTCCGACTGTGTGAACATTTTCTTCAGTTTCCAGACGTTGATAGGTCGCATGAACTGTTGTTTCCGTTGTGCCATACATATTGACCAAGACTGTTTGATTTTCAGCGTACTTTTCATACCATTCTTTTACGATCATTGGATCTAGCTCTTCACCGGCAAATATAATATATCGCAGTCGATTGGTTCGTAAACTCATATTCATCGCTCGCATAAGCATTTTAAACGCCGAGGGCGTTTGATTTAGCACAGTAACACCACTGCCGCAGATCCAATCATGAAATTCGTCCGTTGAACGGTTGATTTCATATGGTACAATCGACAGTTGACTACCATTCGAGAATGCTCCCCATATCTCCCATACCGAAACATCGAAGGAATACGAATGGAATAGACACCATTTGTCTTGTTTATTGAAATCAAATTTTTCGCTTGTAGCCGCAAAGAGTTGTACGACTTGCTGATGTTCAACCATTACTCCTTTCGGTGTTCCTGTTGAACCAGAGGTGTAAATTACATAAGCGAGATGATTTGGAGTTAGTCCAAGACTGGTCACGTCCGGGTTATCGATTGACAAATCATCAGGCAACGGTTCATCTAAGTCAATCACAGGCACTTTATGGTCTCCAAGTACTTTTCGGCCAGTTGCATCTGTCAACAAAAATATCGGATCAGCATCGTGCAAAGTATTGGTCAGTCGTTGGCTCGGATAGGCTGGGTCGAGTGGTACATATGCAGCGCCAGCTTTCAGAATACCCAGCATTGCTATAATCATTGTTGCACTGCGCTCAACGCAAAGTGCGATGCGATCATCGGATTTGACGCCTCGCTCGATCAAGTAATGTGCCAATCGATTGGATTCGGCATTGAGTTCCGCATAGCTCAGAGTCTTGCCTTTGTACTCCACTGCAATTGTTTGTCCATCACGTTCGACCTGTGCTTCAAATATGTGATGAAGACAACATACAGGTGAATAGATAACCATCGTTTGATTCCACGTGTGCAGCAGTAATGTGCGTTCATCTGGTGGTATTATTGTCAATGTTCTTATCATCTGTTGAGGCGTTTGTGATAAAGCATCAACCATCGATTCCATAACTTGTTGCATATATGCACCGATTCGAACTGCTGACATTGGTGTGACTACTTGGACAGTCAAGCACAAAGCATCGTCGTTATCATCCAGCGAGATTGTTAATGGGTAATTAGTTCGACCATTACCGTCAAAGAGAGTGATTCCTCTAATTGTTTCGTTGACTTGTTCAGTCTGTTGACTATGGCGATAATTCAGTAGTGTGTTGAATAAGGGCATATCAGCTGGAACTCCACTGCAGCGTTGTGCTAACACAAGCGGGGCGTATTCGTGCCGTAACAACGCACTCAACTGAGCATGACTATCACGCACCGCGGTCTCCACACATCTACCATCAAGATCTAGCCTTAGTGGTAGTGTGTTAATCATCGGTCCCATAACATTGTCATTTCCTTTTCCCTGTAAACGGCCAAGTAACACGGTACCGAAGACTACTGCCTGTCGACCACTAACTCGAGAAATTACTTGTGCCCAAGCCAAATGACAAATACTGGCCAGACTGACTTGAAGCTTACGTGCATGCGCACGTAACTGATCATTAAGTACCTGTGACATCTTCAGATATGCTTCATTGATTTCAGTTTCGTCCAGATCAAACTCTCTCAAACCGAATGGAAAGGTTGGCTCGTTAATATCACCGAGCATTTCACTGAAGAATCGAGTATGCTCGGCTGGTTTAACTCCCAGCTGGGCATGAGCCACAACATTACGGAATGAAGTTGGTGTTGTTAACTGTTCAATCTTTCCGTCAATGATAGCGTGAACTTCCACCTGCAGCCTCTCCAGTGTTGAATGATCAATAATTAGGTGATGCATCAGTTGTATTGCCACCCAGCTCCCTTCAGACGTTGGTGTGGCAAGTAAACGCAATAGCGGTGCTTGTGTCAATTCGAAACGGTAGTAACGCGGATCAAAGCGGCGGCTCAAGTGCTCCAATATCGGTTCACTGGTATCATCCAATGTAACCTCGGTGAGTAACGAAGGAACCTTACGCAAAACGATCTGCGCCGGCTCCCTGAGACCTTCCCAGATGAAGATGGTACGAAGAATATCGTGTCTCTCTATTGTCTTCTGCAGAGCATTTGCATAACGTTCAAGTGCCGTACGGTCATTAAATATCATACGCATTGCAATCAAGTATGGGTCGCCCTCTACGGACCTCAGATGATGGAACAACATACCCTGTTGTAAAGGCACCAATCCATAAATATCTTGGATGTTAGTTACTCCACCAGGCACTTGTGTAACAATCGTATCAATATCTGCCTGGAAAAGAGTGATAAGTGGTAACATTTCTGGAGTGATCTCTGTGCTGTCTGTGGTAATGATATTGAGTGGAATGGTGGCTGCTTGGTATCGAATGAGCGTCGCAGCTAACACAGCCAGATTGGGAGCATCAAACACTTCCCGCACAGAAGTATCTAATCCGTTCTGTCTCAAATGTCCTAATAGCTGTACAACCAATAACGAATGGCCTCCCAGTGCAAAAAAGTTGTCATATCGGCTAACTTGCTCGATCCCAAAGATTCTACACCAGATTTTTGCCAGTGTTTCTTCCATTTCACCCTGCGGAGCTTCATACTGTTGACGAGAAAACGCTTCATCATCTGGAGCTGGTAGTGCCCGTCGATCTAGTTTGCCATTGGGTGTGAGCGGTAGAGAAGGTAGACAAACATAAGCCACTGGTACCATATGTTCAGGCAGCAATGTCGATAGATATGTACGTAAATCCTTTGCCAACGATGTATTCGCATCGGCCACCACATAAGCCACAAGATGAGCATCTGTTCCATTCCCATAGGATTTTACAACAGCTTCGCGCACCTGTGGATGTTCTACTAGATGGGCTTCAATTTCACCAGGCTCAATTCGAAAACCGCGAACTTTTACTTGCTGGTCTATGCGTCCCAAATATACCAAATTGCCATCAGGCAAATATCGTGCTCGATCACCGGTGCGGAACATGCGTGCTTGAGGATTGTCACTGAATGGATCGAGTAGAAAACGTTCCGCGGTAAGTTTTGGATGGTTAAGATAGCCACGAGCTACGGCAGCTCCACCAATATACATTTCTCCCTCGGCTCCCAGTGGCACTGGTTCGCC